GAACAGCAGACCTAAACCCTGCCCTGTCCTGTGCCGCCCTCCTCATCTCTGACACACTAGAGCCCACTGCTGAAATCACGTTGTCAATCCATCTCACTGAGCGTCGTACTCTCTTTCAGTAACCTTTCCAAGTATGCGGTCTCTCTCCAAGGAACAGTCCCTCTTAGCAACATGCCCCAAGTATGTGAGATGAAGCTTTGCCATCTTTGCCTCCAAGGAGCACTGTGGCCCTAACACCTATTTGTTCTTTCGGCAGTCCATCTGATATTCAGTACTTTTCTCTAACACCAGAGCTCAAAGGCGTCCATTCTTATTATGTTATCCTCATCCATTGTCCAGCTTTCAGAAGCGTAACAAGCAACACATGTGCATGTGTTTTATTTTCGTCAATCATTTGAGTTGAAAAGACATGTAATCTGCACATTTTTACTCCTACCAAAAAGTAAATACACTGCAGTCTGGATGATTCCCACTCATAGTGACCCTCGATTGGGTTCTGACGCTGTCAATCTTCAGAGAGAACGCCCATCTTTCTCCTGAGGATGGCTGGTGGAACCACTGATCCTTCCAGTTAGCATGCATCATGAAACGGGCCCGATCACCAGCACTCCGCTACTCACGGCAGCACATCTAATCTCACACTCACTGCTACACTCAACCGGTATTATGCAAATATAAGCTGTACCAATTTTTTAAAAACTGTTAATTATTTGAATAGATCACCCAATAAAACTCAGGAGTGGGTTGTTCAGTAGTACTAGCTTCTATCTTCCTCTTTATTTATTTATAAAATGGTAGGGAAAAATGAGTATTTCCTCAATATCTGATTATTGCTTCTCACCTCCCAGCTTCCTAGCGTGAGACTCAGCTCAGACATAGAAAACAAGGTATTACGGTGATGATTATCACCCTCTTGAAATAACAGCACTGCTGGTAGTGCCCATCCGGAAATGTTGATCATTTTAACAGTCTTCTGGGTGGCAGTCTGACTCAGTATTATATACTCAATTTCTCTGGCTAGTCAACTGAGTTATTAAGGTCATTATCCTCGAGTGGTACCTAACTCATAGGGGAGCCCCTAGTGGGTTTTTGGAGGCTGTCAGTCACCCAGAAGGAAGACGCCCACTTTTCTCCCCTGGAGCCAATCAACAGTGGATTTAAACCTCGGCCTCTGGATCAGCAGTGCCACTCCCCATGAACTACGACAGCAGGGCTCCCTAGTGAACTGAAGCTGATTTGAATACCAATGTTTCAAAGAAACACATTTTAAAATAGATAAATAAGAGTATTTCCTTCTCAAAGGTAACCAGAGCTGGAGACTGCCAAGCTGGGCAGGTTGCTTAGTTCATTTATGTCCCAGTTTCCCGACTGTCCGTAGGGACAATGGTATTTCACAGGGCTGTGATGGAGACTGGAGAAATGCCTTTACAACAGCACCAAGTACAGCCTCAAATGTCAGACAATTATGTTATTATTGTTGTTGCTCTTATGTGCCTTCCAGTAGAAACTGACTCACAGCTGACCCTGCAGTAATTCTCTGCGACTGAAACTCTTTCTTCATGTTACTGCTACTGTTTGTTGTTGTTAAGGACCGTCAAGTTGTAGGCGACTCAGAGTGACCCTATGAACAAAAGACCTGGACACTTGCATAACTTTCATCCTTTCTCCAGGCTCATAGGGTTTCTGGAGGCAAGCTATTTCAGAAGTGGATGCCACTCCTGTTTCCAAGCTTCTTTTAATCAGGGAGCTCCACCAAACACTGTCCACCATGGGTAACCATTATTGCATTTGACACTTCAGTGTCACAGTGTTCAGCATCACAGCAACCACGAATAACCTCTGTACAGCAAGTGGATAGACCAGGGCTATACAACCTAGAAGAATATTTGACCAAAAACAATTAAAAAGAGGCCTGAGGACCATGCTGCTTAATGTGTACGCTTCTTGAATCTATAAGCCACAGAAAGGTTTACTTCTTAAATCACAATAAAGGACCATAAACATTTTCTCTCTTATTCCTTTGCTAAACAGCAGCTTTCTGTCAATTTAGCACCGACTGCATTTCAGGGCCACCAACCTTATTGAACCATTCAGGGCTTTTCTTCTTAGCCAGTGATAACGTTGTCACAAATCCAGCTAGCATTCCTGCTGCAGAAACGGTGCCGAGGAAAATCCCACCTGCCAAAAGTTTGAAGGGGCAGAAAGGTACAGATCTTAAAAAATTCAACAAACCTGAGATGATCGTCAAAATCAATTTTTAAATTCAAGAGAGGATAGTTAAACAGCTCTTGTCGAGGGCAAATGCAAAACCTCTTAGAGAAAAAAAAAATCCAACTTGTTGCCATCACCTCTGAGTAGTGGCCCTACAGAACAGAGCAGAACCACCCCATGGCACCTCCAGGGATTTTCCAGAGGAGCTATGGTGGCAAGAGCCTGTGCTGCAATCTCAAAGACATGAGGCTGAATCCACCAGCTGAGACCGAGACAGATGGGCAATCTCCTCCCTCGTAAGGAACTGCCTCTGAAATTCCCGCTGGAAGATCTGCGATGGGGCAGTTCCGACTCAAGAGCACACAAGAACAATCTTTTTTTTTTTTTTGGTCTTTTTTTAAAATTTTATTCATTTTAATAGACATTTACAGAGGTTTTGGATTTACATTCATTCATTGCCGCACTTTTCTCCCTGCCCACCCTCCCCACCAGTTCTTTCCTCCCTCTGAAAAGAAAAAGAAAAAAAATTCCTTCATTTGTATACAATTCCCACATCCCTTCCCCCACCCCCCACCCCGAGTACACTTCTCTGTGCAACCTTAACTCTGGATTCCTGTGCCAACCATAATACTCATATATCACCTCTGATGCCTTTGAGCTGTGGTGTTGGAAAAGAGTACTGAATATGCCAGGGAGACAGACAGGTATGTTTTGGAGAAAGTGCAGCCCGAGTGCTCCTTGGAGGCAAGGAGACCGAAGCTTCTTCTCACATAGTCTGGGGCACGCTGCTAGGAGAGGCTATTCCTTGGCGAGGACATCACGCATGGGAAGGTGAAGGAGGAGGGTCAGTTAAAGAGAGGAAGACCCTCGGCCAGGTAGATCGGCACCGTGACTGGGCTCGAACGTGTCAGAGACGATGAGAACGGTACAGGGCAGGGTTCAGATCTGTTGTTCACGGGGTCACTATGAGTGGACTCTACTGGACTGAACCTAGGGACACCACCAATCGTTGCAGAAGCAGGTTGTCATCGCCTTCTTCCACGGAGGGGCCGGTGGCTTCCAAACAGACCTTTCGTTTGGCAGCCGAGCGCTTACAGCCTGCACCAGGTGCAGGTGTCCTCAGGTAAGTGATGGCGACTATGACACCTGCGCGACCCCGCGACCGAGGGTCACCGAGGGTCCCAAGTGCAGGGCATGGGTGCACGGTCACTTGCCCTCTTCCAAGGGCAAAGGCTACACGTTGCCTCCGGGAAAAGTAAGCGGTGAGGGCTAGAAATGGACGTTGACGGAGCAGGAAAGCTGCGGAGATGGGAAACCGGGCGCCTCTGGGTACGGCGCTCGCGGGACCTGCCGCCGCCCCTGGGAGCTTCCACCCGCCCCGGGCTGTGACCCGCCCGCTGTGGCGCAGGCCAGGCCCTCGGGGCTCGCCGTCACCTGCACTACGTCACACCTTTCACCAGGAAAAGTCGGTCTTCCGAGGGGTCGCGGGCCTCCCGCCGCGAGGCCGACACCACGGGCCCGGCATCCGGCGCCGCCATGTTGGAGCCTCGGCTTCCGCGTGCGGAGCCGGGCGCGCCGGGCGGATGCGCGTGCGAGGCCGAGAGAAAGGTTCCGCTTCTCAGTTTATCGTTTGCTTTTCAAAGAGAGGAGCGAATGGAGGGGCACGAGGGTAAAGAAAAAAGTGCAACAGTGAATGCGTGAAAATACAAAATCTCTGTAAATGTTCATTAAAATTAATAAAATAAAATAAAGGTTCCGCTTCTCGCTCTTTCCGGTGCTCCTCGGACACAGGTCCGGGCGGCGTCCAACCCCCAAACCCGCAGACGCCTTCTGTCTTTCCGCCCCTGGTGGCGCTGCCAATCCCCAGACTGGGGCCCCAGGGTCAGTTGTCTGCTCCAAGGTGACGGTCCTGGACCTTGCAGAGTCCAGACTCCATCCACGTTGCGCCAGGTTCCAGGCCCAGCCCAATGTGTGAGCCAGGAGTTCTGGTTTGTGCTCAAATTTAAGTCTAAAAGGTTGACCAGCGCTCATATGCCACCATTCCTAAAAGCAGTCTTTCCTTGCACTGGAGGAAGACTATGGCAAAACAAAAGAGCCCAAACCTAACTTAATTAACACCCCAAATTCCTAGAAATACCATCTTAGTTCTCCCCAGGACCCACTATAAGAAGGAACACCTCCCTCCACCCCCAACTGCCCATGCACCATTTCAATCCTGTCCAGGTGCTGTGCGGCCAGGTAACTTTGGCACGGTGCAATAAAGACCTGTTTGTTTCTTGGGACCAGTTTCCCCCCCCCCCTTTCTCTCTTTCGCCCTCGTGCTCTTTTTTTTCTATCTAACATGCACCTTTCTAAGAAATGAGTAGCAGATATGGTTTTAGGTATAAATAACAGATTACACCTTTAAAGGAGTTCTAAGGGTGGACCTGCTTTCACAGATTGTCTGAGGGGAAGGGGCTTATCCAGCCTCCAGAAGAAAGCACAGACAGGGCTTGCAACCCCTGAGCTGGTCACGCAGATGGCCTGCCCCATCCATACCTTCGAGGCTGCTTTCCCGACAAATAATAACAATGGTTAAAACGCAGTGAACCCCTCAAACTTAGGTTTAAGCTCTGAATCAGTCAGCCTGGGTTAGGTTCCTTAGCCAATAGTTAAGGGGAAAGGTCACCCTGGGAACCTAATCCAGTTCACGGACTATTGGTGAGAGTCTTCCTCCAATCCTGATGTCACACTTCTCCTCTTAGAGTCCAGCCTCCCAGATAATCTGTTCCGCATACAGATTGAAAAGATACGGAAAAGTGAAGGGCCAGTAGAATAGAGGAAGACCCTCTGCAAGATGAATCAACCCAGTGACTGCAGCAACGGGCTCAAGTGTGTTAGGGATAATAAGGATAGCGCAGGATAGGACTGGGTTCCGAAATGTTTAAATGGTCATATGGGTCGTACATGACCCAGTGGCACCTAACAACAATATGGGTCAGCACTGATGACAGTTCTGTCTACGAACTCAGAGAGGCTAACGTTGCTCTGTGGCAGACCCAGGATTTACACAGGCCTGTGCAAGCATTTTTCCTCTGCTTATGCACTCAAGCTAGAGACTAGTGAAGGTCCCCCAAAGAGCTTATTGACCATGGACTGCTGGGTTCCATCCCTCGAGCTTCTGGCTCAACAAGGGTAGCATGGGGCCTGAGCATATGCACACCATACAAGTTCCCCAGGAGCAATGATTAAGCCCTGGGCTGCTGACTGAAAGGTCAGTGGTCCCAGTGGCTCTAGAGGAAGAAACAGCAGCTGTTTAAAGTAAAAACAAGAGATTTAGTAATAGCAAAATGAGGAAGCAAAATCAAGCAGCTCCTGACAGAGAGCTCAGAAGGGCTTAGCATCGCAGAGGTTGAGAAAGGCAAGAACTTAAATAAGGGCTTATATCTGACTATTTTCAGCTGGACAACATTTACAGAGTTGCAGGTGGCGGGATCATGGCTGATCACCTTCTTAGGAGTTGACCTCTTGCTAAAAGCAGGCTTCCTGTGACAAGCAGGGCTAATTAGAAATTTCTTAAGGGACTCTGGGAAAATAGTCTGTAGCATGTTGTGCTGTTACCCCTAAGACCTCAGTTCAAACCTACTGTTATCCTATCAAAGAAAAGTGGACTAACTCCTCTCACTAAGATTTGCAGCCATGGAAACCTGAATCGACTCTACAACAGTGAGTTGGGTTCATAAACTTCCTGGAATAAATTTCTAATACTATGTATGTACTAAGTATGTGTAAGAATAGAGCATATGTGTATAAAGGTAAAAGCAAAGAATCTGACTGGGGGGGTTGTATATTTATGTGTGTGTGTGAGAGAGAGAGGAGAAGAGGGAGGGGGGAGACTGACTCTTCTTAACATTGGCTATTTCTAACCACACATTTGAAATAAGCAAAGCAGGGCAGGGCAGGCCACATTTTTCTGTAGCAGCTATTTGTATCTAGGTTAAAGGTGCAATGAAAGTTTTAATGGTTTTCCAGGCTGTCCAATATAACCACATTGTTTGAAAAGATGCAAAATAACTATCAATAAATGTTTTTCTCATAAGAAAAAAAAAGATGCAAAATGACCTACAACCAGGAGAGAACAAAATAAATGAATAGGACTTTTTCTTTCTTTAATTAATTAATTAATTTATTTATTCTTTTGCTTTTCAAGGAGAGGAGCAAACGGGGTGGAGGGGTGGAGGTGGGGTGGGCAGGAAGAAGGGTGCAACAATGAATGAATGGAATTCCAAAATCTCTGTAGATGTTCATTGAAATGAATAGGACGTTTTAAGAATCAAATGCCTATGCACATCATAAAACTTCTCCAACAGGGTAAAAAGGAAACCCAGAGATTGGGAAAAAATATTTGGTAAAGACAAATCTAATAAGGGACTCATCCAAAATTTAAAGAATATTTGAGCACCTCAACAAGAAAAAGGTAAACAACTCAATAGCAAAATGGGCACAAGATATGAACAGACATTTCACCAAAGAAGATATTCAGATGGCAAACAAACACATAAAGAAATGTTCAAAATCCGTAGCTATAATAGAGATGTAAATTAAAATAATTATGCAGTATCATCTAACCCTAGTAACAATAGCAAAGTTCAACAGAGCAGCAAACAATAAATGCTGGCGAGGTTGTGGTGAGATTGGAACCCTTATTCACTG